AATTCTCAGTAAATTACTCAGAAAATTACCAGTAAATTACTTTGTAAATTCCCTTTAAATTCCCAGTAAATTTCCTAATAAATTCCCAGAAATTGAATCACATTTTCGATCCACAAAGACATTGTCAGCACCGATGGGCCAATACGGTTCAACGGCCCAAAGAATAATGGCGGCACGAATGTCAGCAAGTTCAATTTGGGATGGGCCTGAATCATTCAGTCGGCGCGACATAATTTTGCCGACACATGGCCCATCAATAATCCATACTGGGCCAAATAATCAGCCTAGCTGCCCAGTTGACATAGGCCCATCAGTAAGCGAGGCCGGATCCAATAACTCAGAATCATCAAAACTCACTACAGACAACGCGGCTAAATTAATAGGAGAAGCTGTAAAAGCCGCACTGGAAGGATCCACATAAGCCCAGAGAGCAAATGTACAACGGAGACAACTGTAAAATAATTTGTAACCAATATTTGTATTAATAAAAAATTATTTTACTAGTAACAATATTTCAATCTACAATTCAAATGCGCGCTTACAATCAATTTTGTGTGACATTCCCACACAAAATAACAAAATAAAAATAAATAAATTTTAAGAATTAAACACTAAACCCTAAAATAAAAATAAAAAAATTTATCCCTAAACACTAAGGTAGCGTTTGGTAACGTTTACGTTTTTTGTTTATATTTATGAAAATTTTATAAACTGGTTTTTATTTATTTTTAGAAAAACATAAATTACAAACGCGTTTGGTTTGAACAAAATGTTTAAAAAATTTTAAAAACATAAAATAAAAAATATATTTGTTCAGGCCTAAAATATTGAAAAAATAATTATTTGAAACAAAATTTAATTGGGAAAAAAAATATTTCAAAAAAATTTAATTGAAATGAAAGATTAATTGAAAAAAAAAATTAATAGAAAAAAAATAATTGAAAAAAATTATTTGGTCTTAATTTCAATTATTTGGTCTAATTTTTTTTCAATTATATATATTTTTGTTCAGGTCTAAAATATTTATATATTTTTTTCAGGTCTAAAATATTTATATATTTTTTATTATTTATGACAATGGGATCACACATATTATAATTGAAAAAAACATTTCCATACTCTTATCCATGCGCATATGCAAATTCAAGATCATATTCACATTTAATGGATCCATGCACAAATGACCATCTGGTCCTTCACATTGTATGTACAAAATGACCTTAGGTCCATTATTTCTAATCATGATCATGTTCGATTAATTGAAAAAAAAAACTAATAGAAACAAAAATTAATTGAAAAAAATTATTTGGTCTTAATTTCAATTATTTGGTCTTATTTTTTTTCAATTATTTGAAATTAAGACCAAATAATTTTTTTCAATTAATTTTTTTTTTCTACTAATTTTTTTTTTCAATTAATTTTTTTTCAAATATTTTTTTTCCCAATTAAATTGTTTTTCAAATAATTATTTTTTCAATATTTTAGGCTTGAACAAACATATTTTTTATTTTACGTTTTTAAAATTTTTTAAACATTTTAAAACTAAACGCATTTTTATTTTATAAATTTTTTTAAACATTTTGTTCAAACCAACCTCGTTTGTAATTTATGTTTTTCTAAAAATAAATAAAAACTAGTTTATAAAATTTTCATAAATATAAACAAAAAACGTAAACGTTACCAAACGCTACCTTAGTGTTTAGGGATAAATTTTATTTTTTTTATTTTAGGCTTTAGGGTTTAATTCTTAAAATTTATTTATTTTTATTTTAATAAAATAAAAAGAATAAATTATATCCCTAAACACTAAGGTAGCGTAAATTTTTAGAAATTTATTTTATTTTTTATGAAATAAATTTATTGGACCAATTGTGTTCACTTTACTTTATCTATTAGTTGGTCCAAGCGCGGTTCACAAATCAGCAACAGCATTTGTTTATTGAAAGCATGATTCACAACCATGCTTTCAGAAGAAAATTTTTTTTTGGTAAAAAGCGTGGTTCACAATCACGTTTTTAGAACAAAAAAAAATTTAAGCTAAAAGCGTGGTTCACAACCACGCTTTCAGAAGGAAAAAAAATCTCTTTGTTGTAACCAAGTGTTAACTTGGAAAGCTGTAAGCCCGTAGGGCATTTTGTTATGAGGTTAACATGTAATACTTATTTCCTGAAATTCTAATGAATGAAAGGAATGCGGTTAGTTTAAATGTAAATGCATGTCTTATCTGATGGGTTTATTGTTATTATTTTTGAGGGCGTTACATTCACAATCACGTTTTTAGAACAAAAAAAAATTTAAGCTAAAAGCGTGGTTCACAGCCACGCTTTCAGAAGGAAAAAAAAATTAATTAAAAGTGTGGTTTGTAACCACACTTTTTTAATTAAAAACGTGATTTGGAAACACGCTTTTACAATTTCCCAATTTTCACGCGGGATAGACATACAAACGTTAAAAGCGTGGTTGTGAACCACGTTTTAGCCTATTTTAGGAATTCTTTCAAAACTAGGCTTAGTTTGGGAATTAGGTTGACAATTTGACTTATTTTGGGAAATGGCCCTACAAATAACTCTTTTTGTTACTCACCCGTCCAAATTCAAACAAATTTGAATGATGTCATCCAAAATTATTCTTCAAATTTCAATACTGCCCTTATCTCTCCATACATATATATACCCATATATATATATATATAAAGAACAAGCATATCTTGTCCTCCGCTGCCCCCAACGCTTTCGCTTCCAAAACCTCCATCTAGTGCCGCCACCACCATACCAAACTCCTCCCCATACCGAACTCCTCTCTCTCTCTCTCTCTCTCTCTCTCAGCTCATCCATCTCCACCACCACTACCAAAAACACTAGATCTGAGGAGCTGGGTGTGTGTTGCGGTGGTCGCGATCTGATTGCGAGAGTTGCAGTGATGGCGGATCGCGATGACGATCATGGCGATTGCGACGGTTGCAGAAAATAGTGAGAGAGAAACAGAGAGATCGTAGTGGTGGTTAAGTGCGCAATGGTAGCGATGCGATGAGGAGAAGATGTGAGACTCAAGGAGGTAAGAGGGCGGTGGAGTTCTCAACTAGATTACGAATAGATCTCATGTCAACTGGAACTTCAATCTCTATTTGTTACAGTCTTGAACCTTTGTACAGATCTCCGCAGCCTTCGACATCCCGACCAGAGACGTCGCCGAAGGCGGCGACGCAGGGGTGTAGGACATGAGATGCAATGGCTGAGCCGCCAGCGACGGTAGGGTTGTGTGGATCGTTGCAATCCTCTATGATGTGATTCGAGGCGAGTTTCAAAGCAGAAGGGCCATGGCAATTAGCTGCACAGAGTGAGAGAGAGATTGAGATTGAGATTTTCAGGTTGTTCGACACAGATGCTTGAGAGCTATGTTCCAAAATTCCCATGAATCTTCTCAAATTTCTTGTTTCTAATTGGGCCTTGAAAATCAGTATATCATTATCAACAACTACAAATATATATATATATATATATTGAATTGAAAAATCCACACCAAAATTCTCATGAATCTTCTCAAATTTCTTGCTTCTAATTGGGCTTTGAAAATCAATATATCATTATCAACAACAACAATTACATAAAGTAAAAAAAATAAATTATAGAACTAAAAAATCCACACCGAAATCATTTGAGATGTAAGAGAAAGAGGAGAAGATGAAGATGGAAGAGGGTCAAGGGCATTATGGTCAATTCGATTGTCAAGTTAACGTTGTTCATGTCCTTTTAACGGGAAGGGAGAATCTATAGTATTATTCTATAGTAATTTTCAAAAGTAGGAGAGGTAAGTGTTATTTTTGAAACTATAGGGGAGGTTCCTGTAATTAAGGTAAATCTCAGGAGAGATCAGTGTAATTTACCCTAAAACAAATTATATTTAGACCAATAATATTATGACACATATGAATATTGATCTCATTCTAATTGTAGTAATATAATTTGAAGAAGAATTTAAATTTGAAATTTTATTTTATAATTTAACAAATGATGCAAAATTTAAGGAATGTAAATTGATTTCATTCCAATTATAATAACATAATCCAAATTTAAAATTTTATTTTAAGGATATAAAATTAATTTATAGACCAATCATATCGTAACACGTATTAAAAAAAGAATAACAACTTTCAACCTTAATGAAATGACAATATTTTGTAATTATAATAGTATATAGATATATAGATAAATAGATAAATCATGGAATAAATCATTATTTAAAACTTATATATTATGAGATAAATCATTATAATTTTAAATTTAAATTAATGAAATGCTTTTCATATTTAGTGCCCCTCAAATTTGAATTTTGAAATGGATTAGTATATTTTCTATTTTTTATTTTATATATTTGATATACTTTCCATTTGAGAGATATTATTATTATTTTTTTGTTTGAATGAGAGCTATAGACTTTTTTTAATTATTTAAAATCAAAAAATTAAAAATTTTAGTTTAAAATATTAAAACTCCCACAAAACTTGTGGTTAGAAAGCCCCTTTCACTTATATAATAGATAGATAGATAGATATAATAAGAATTTATATTTATTTTAGATATTTTTTTAATATATAAATTATTATTTTTTTTAGATTTTTTATAAAAATAATTTAATAATTACATCACTAATCATAATTCCTAATATCATCAAAACAAACACACTTTTATTTAATCTTTTCATGTTGATCAGAGGATTTTGACCAAATCAATAAATGTTGAGTTTTTTTTTTTTTTTTAAAAATTAAAAAATTAAGATTGAGATATTAAAACTCTCACAAGACTTGTGGGTTAAAAACTCCCATTTCCTTATATAATATATAGATAGATTGACAACATTATGTGATTGTGCATATAAATTTGCTTTTAACACAACATTCATATTCAATCTGCATAGCAAAACCATTGCAAGTAATGACTGTTCGAAAGAAATTAACTACAAATATTCACAGGAGATTAGCATGCCACAAATTCAAAGTCTCAAATCAGGAAAAAGAAACATCTTTAATTTCCAAGCACACCACATGGATCGAGTACTATATAAACAGGTAGTTTTGGTTCCATACCCATTCTAACATGGATCGAGTACTATAAAAACAGGTAGTTTTGGTTCCATACCCATTCTAACTAACTAATACAGCATTGTTATCGAAAGCCAAGTTCCCAACGTTAAAAATAGCTTTGCTTTAACACAAATTCCGAGCTGCACTTACTATCCTATAAAAATGAAGTATATGGTAAAGGTAAGAGGTGGAAACTCCTAAAAGTCAGCCTCCAACAGTAATGCTTCATCGATGGATGACTGAAGTTTTCTTTGCCACCAAACCCCTCGTTGATCTGATAATTGCATAAAGTTCATGTATCAAAACAGTTTAATCTAGCCAGAGAGGTTGGCCTTACATTATAGTTAGTAGGACTTTGATGTATTCATTTCATTTGTAAACATGGCCTCAACATTTTGATGAAAACCCAAGTTGTGAAAATGAGAGTATAAAATAAACATGCAAGGTAAACTGGATCAAGGCTTACATCTTTTAATTAAAAGGGAACCGAGCTACGCAGGACACATATAGCTTCATATCTTCTGCACTGGTGGTCTATGTGGCTTTGGAGCTGAAATGCACAACACAGATGGATTTAGCGTAAAGAAAATAGTATTACTAATGCCAGGAAAGTATAAAATACAGCAGAATAGTAAAATGTTTTACTACAAAAATTCCACTGGGTTTGTGTGGAACCAATGTTTTTGGCATGCTCAGCCACCAAAAATGGCAGGAGCAAAGGGCTATAGAAATTTTGCATAACGAGATGGGCTATGCCAATTGCAGTAGCTGAGCATGCTTTCCAATAAACAAAGTGGCAATCTTTGTGAACAACAGGATCTTTACATGAGAATAAACCATATCAAAAATTCAACTCCAATCTGTCAGAGAAATTGAAGAGAGGTTTGAGCTACATAGGTTTGTAACTCCTCCTTGAAGGAAGGTTACTAAAGAATATATGTGATGAAGATCATGAAAAGAAGAAAAAGAACAAATCTGAAATTTCACATGAAACACATTTAAGGCATCAAGAATAAAAGATTTGGAATAATTTTGAGTCTTCACGTCATTATAGTAGGTTTTAGTCCTTAAGGGTATAATGGTAATTCTAATAATTGTTAGACATAGGTTGTAGAGTCAAGTTATTAAACGGGTCATTATATATGAGTTTTATTATATCTAAAATAATCTTAGTAGTCAAAAGTCCAAGTTTCCTATTTTAATATTGAAGTAGAATTACAAGTCATTAAAGTTTCCTATTATGATTGAAGTATAATTGGAAGTCATAGTGGGTGTTTGGGAAGTGGGTTTTTTTTTTGTAGGTTTTTTTAGCTGTAGGATATTATTGGAGAATTTTTTTTTTTGTGTTTGGGAAGATAGTTGGGTTTTTTGTGGTTGGATGTGATGTTTGTGAGAGAAAAAGTGAATGATTATGGGGTTTGATGTGATATTTTGTTTAGATTTATTTTTTTTGGTTTTGTAACCAATTTGTCTTTCAGTGAAAAAAAACTAAAAAAAACCAACCTCCTTCCCAAACACCGCTATAGTTGGTCTAAAATATTAGTAGTTGCTAAATATTTTTAGTTTCTAAATCTAAGTCATAGTCCTTATAGAATGAGGAGAGTCTTTAACCAATAAATATATGTGTAATCTCAATGACTGAGGAGAATAGCGAATATTATAAAAATTTGAGATTATATTTGTGTGATTGGCCTATCCCTTATGAGGGTGAAGCATGTCTTTCTCTCGCTCTCACTCTCTCTCTTCTTCTTCTTTTATCCAGCAAGATTACTGTTCACGTCACTGTTCACAGTGCTTAGAACAACCACTCAACTAGTCCTAAACACTTGTATTTTTATTCCTAAAACCCTATCCTTTCACAAACCCTTAGAACAACCACTCAACTGCTCCTAAACACTTGTATTTTATCCTTTCACAAACCCTTAAACTCTTATTTTTTAAATACTTCTACAGTCACAAAATTCCACCAAATCTAGCTCTACAAGTCTACTGCTGTTGTTGCTAGTATACTTAACCCGGACTCACCACTCTACTCATCCTACATCAATATGTATTAATGTGAGCTTTATGTTTCTCAGCTAGAGTAGCTAACAATTTCCTTAAATTAATTATTTTCCCAATTAGTCTAGTATTTCTTTTGTGTAGCATCCTATGATAGGGGGTGTAGGTAGTTTCACTGCTAAATCTTGTTGAATGAAATTGATTTCCTTGAGCTTTGGTGAGATGTGCAACTCCTTTATTGTTTGTTAGAGGCTTATTCCTAGTGAACCCGAAGGTGCTAATTCTCTGGTTTTTCCAATTGTAGATCAAGGATTTTGACTCATGCTCATTTTAGAAGATTTCATACCTCTACAGTGAGACACCACTAGTCTCCTCACACTGTGATTCCAAAATCCTAGGTCAAGAGCTGTGTGATACTTTTCAAGGAAGGTAAGACACCTCAACCATCTTTACTTCCTTAATACAAATCCATCACCCGAAGTCCATGGGTAATTGCACACCACATCTTTTCTCAGTACACACCATCTCTGCCATTCGAATATCATCTCCCAAACAAAAATCAAATGTTCGGATATTAACTATTGAGTGGGATTCTTATCCGAACAATACATTTTTTTCAGAAGTTGATTTCTGAACATTTGATTTTTTTTGGAAGTTAATGTATGAACGGCATAAATAGTGTCTATTGCCAATTTTTGTGGTGTCCGAATAGAATTAACCCAAGTCCATTCATACATCACAGCAAATTCTGCCGCATCAAGGTAGTAAAGGTGATCAAAGACAGAGACGAGTGGTGTGTGCAACAGCACCTTCAATGGCTACCATAGGTGTGAAAAAAGGTTAAAAAAAATTTAAAAAAAAATAAAAATTCCAAAGATTAAGAACCTGTTATTTTCCTATAGAAAGATTTCCTTTTTAGCTGCTTTCCTTTATGCTACTATGATGCACTTGAAAAAATCCACTGAAACCACTTTTTGCCATTAAAGAAAGACTAGCACTACCAAAATGCAACAATTGGAACCATCAGAAATTAAGATGAAAAAACACACCATTGGGGTTCCCTTGCTCATAGAAGCTTCGTAACAGAGACACTGCTTCTGATGCCATTATTCCTCCTGTGCATTTAAAACCCTTTTGTCGTGGTACCCCACCGCTACGGCAAAAAATAAAAAATAATAAACAATAACAAAGGGAGGGAGAACCAGTAACTTGAATTTCATGCTACACTAATAGGACAAAAAAGATATAAGTCAATGTAGAGAAGACAAAATAATTTCCAAGGATAATTTCAAGTAGTGGTGGTCACAGATGCTTTGAGAGTATGAAATTAGTGAATTCCTATTCAAAGCCTGTTGTGAGCTTGGCTCTGCCATGTATGCTGAGAGCCACGTCAGGCTATTCATACTTTAACTCATTCACTTTAGAGCTCTTGCTAGCCGCTTGTTATACTGTCTATTACAAATGGTTCCTTATATAGATGTAGGTGTAGTGGATGGTGGTGGTAGGTGAGTGTAGTAGGTGAGTGTGTGGTAGGTGATGGTAAGTGTGTGGTAGGTGATGGTAAATTTTAACAAATTCCTATTCAAAGCCTGTTGTGAGCTTGGCTCTGCCATGTATGCTGAAAGCCACGTCAGACTATTCATACTTTAACTCATTCACTTTAGAGCTCTTGCTAGCCGCACTAGCGAGCTGAGTTTCTACACTTGATGGTGTGTATGCCCCCATTTAGGTTAGGCCTACAACCCCAATTAGTCCTGTGACGATCTTGTGGTGACTCGGAGGTCTGCCACATGAAGATATGGACAAGATGACGTGGTGCCCGTAGGGCTCACCACGTGTTGGGCATGATGTAAGTACCCACACACCAACCTAGTTTACAAATTCGACCAAGTAAATCTAGCATTAGACAAATGTGAATCAATCAACTTGGATCAAAATCTCTCATATTCCTTTTGTAATCCTAGTCCCATTGAGCCTTCCAGATACTCTTAACCTTATGACATTAAAATCATCCACCCCACACTAATTAGGAGAGCATAATCCATGAACTAAATTTCCACCAACAAAGGTGTAGTAACCTGATGTTAATCATATGTCTGCAACAAATCCCACCCAATCTACATCAGTTTAAGCTTCTACTTGCAGGTGGTTATGCCTAGAGATAATATTCCCCTACCTTCTTAATTCAAACGTTGTAACATCTTACACATAGCCTCCATATGATTCTCACAAGGTGAGTGAATAAACCGACCAACCACACTAATCACATATTGTCCCACCAATCTTTGATACTGCTATCACTTGGAGTATCACTGTCACATTTTCCCAACCTATTATTTTGGAGGACTTTGTTATCTTGTACTTTCTTTTACTAATAAAATTTCCTTTGTTTATGAATTTTTTTTTTTTATATGAAGAATGGGCAGTTATCTCGATAAGCACCAAGTGTTTGCCTAATCACCTTAGCATCAGTTTTCAGCAGATTTGAGAAGTTAGATCATGATTTGAACAACTTTTAACTATCTGCTGGTTGGAAGTTTAAGGCACAGAAGGGTGAAACATCTACCCCAGAAAATATTCTCATTTCAGTATTGTAAGTGTGCAGAAGAAGAGGATCCACAAATCCTCATAGTTAAGATTTTGTTTTATTTTTTTCCGTCAACAAGAAAGAGAATTGTATTAGAGAAAAAGAGGAGAAAATACAAAGGATTGTAGGAAAGACAAGAAGTCCACTGAGTGAACAAAACAATAAACTACAAATAACATACAACTCTCCAATCTCTACTAACTAGAAGAAAATAAATTCCTCTAAAACTAGGTAACACTGAAGCCCAAAACGATGCCAAATGACAAATTTTATCTCATAATCTCTCTACATTTTCTGCTTTTCTGAAAAAATTCTAGAATTCCTTTCCAATCAAATCACCCAAAGCACCGCAGAAACTACACATCTCCAAAGAACCCATGCTTTCCTATTAGAACCAAATCCTCTAAAATCAATGCAAGACAACTGAAGACAAGAAAATGGTAACACCCAAGGCACCTCCGCCAAATTAAACACCCTCAATCATAAAGCCAAAGCCACAGAACAATGCAAAAATAAGTGATCAATGCTTTCCTCCTCCCTCCTACACACCTAGTTGTGAAAAATATTCTCAGAACTATGTTCTATTGGTGTTCAATAGGGAGCAATATTTTGAGAATTAGTCTTATTTTGCCAAATATTGAGCTGAAGAAATCTTCAGCCAATTTCTTTCAAGTTTACTATGTCCACGCAACCCTTAAGATGATATTTTAACACTTTTAAGATAATTCTTCCTTTATTTACATTATTCATTTGAAGGAAGACGCAGTTAAGGAATGATGTGGATATTTGCTGAAGCTTGCTAAATAAATAAATAAAATGACTTGAGTATGAGTATGTTATATTGAGCATGGAGTTAAACCTAATGAGTGGCTCAGAGCTGCTTAAGTGCAGTGACAATATTGATCCACACCCTCCAAATTTATCATTTGCACAGCCATAGTATACTTCCTTTATACCTAAAAGGGAGAAAATATGTTACCCACAGCCACAAATACAATTAAAAAAAATATGCAAAAGAATAAACCTTCATTACGTGCACCAGAATGAGCATACCCAGAATCGATAAGGCTGCTGCACACATAATACATGGTTCACATGTAACATAAAGTGTGCATTTTGAAAATTTATTGGCAACTTCTGCCTCTGAAAGTCCATTTTGCTTCCACTTCTCCAGAAGAACATCAATAGCTTCCATCTCTGCATGTCTTGTAGCCTGCATTTAAATTACCCGTAAACTAAAACTTTGCAAACCAGGCTGCCTGACCAACTAAAAGTATTGTATATTAATATCTTTAATATACGGATCTATTGAATTCCAATAATACAATGAAATGGATGTACAATGATATCTTTGAAACTTTAACGAGCTTATTCGAAGCTGCATGTTTGGTATTCCATTATGCCTCTATAGGAAGTTGTTTTGAGTTGAGTAAGTTGTTTGTTATGATGCTCATTTGCCGATTTGTGTCCAAGGGAAAGGAAGGAAGTAGTGCAATTCAAGATTCCAGCTCATGATCAGCTTTTCTCAAGCTGTGCTTGTTTATTGGATGCATAGTCACTCCGTTCATGTTGTCACATTCCTCAACCTTGCTTTGGAAGATATCATTTGCTAGCCTATTGATCTCATCCTGACAAGATCAGTACTCTTCTGCAAGTATGCATCTGTCCAAGGTTTAGCAAGAGGATATGGGTACATGATGGGTGTTGTCAGCTTTGCACCTGTGGTTGTTTGGCCAAGGTTGCAGCTTCAATGTATTCAAGGAGGGATGAGTTGTTGTGAGAATCATTTGTAAACAAGGAAATGGAGCGCTTGCTTCCCGTTGAAGGCTACATGTTGGAGTTGCCTTTCCATCCCAAGTGGTGTTAAATTGAGTTACCTAGCTGCTAATGAAACTTGAGAACAAGTACCTTTTAGTGGGGGAGTTTAGCAGAATAAAAATCTCAAGTGTCTGTCAAGTGTCCTATTCATTGTAATCTATAAATTGGTGATGTGATCTCCATTATACTAAAGTTTAATTGAAGAATATAGAGTATTGATTAGAACCAAATGCTCTGGTTCTCTCTCTAACCTTAGGGATTACCCTTAGGTTGGGGTTTTTCTTCTCCCTCTCTTGATTTGATCTTTGATTTGCATTTTGATTGCATTACCATAAGCCTAGAAATCATCTAAAAAATCATCAAAATAGAGAAATGTATGATGTCAAAGTAAAAGCATTTGAAGGTTAAAGGAGATTAATAATTGCTTGAATTACAACTTACATGTAGGGTTAAGTATAGATGTTGGGATTCATCCTCAAACTAAGGGTGTAACTTGGGCAGGCTCAACTCGAGCAATCAGAACCCAGTTCGAATTTTTTTAGGGTTTGGACAAGATATTTTCAAATTCGGGGTACGGGTTTGGGCAAAACTTCAGAAGCCTGAATTAAATTTGGGCGGACTTGGACAAAGATATCAAACAACCCGAGCAACCCGAAACCCGAATTATACATATATAGATATATAAAAATATTAAATATATATATAAATTATTAGCCATTACATGATATTAAAGTAAATTAGATTATTAAATCATATTGAATATATATTATATATACAAATAACATAAAATTTTATTTTTTTTTATTTTCACTCATAAATTGTAAAGATTACTATAGCGGCATTTTTTTTACATTATATAAATTATTTGTTTTGATGGTATTAATGATTTTCTATATATAAAAAAAAAATATAAATAGAGTCAAATTTTAATAATTAATAATGTAGCTGCAAAAAAAAAAAAACTAAAATTTATTTACAATTCCAGCAATTCGGGTTTAACTCAAGTTGGGCTTGGGTAGGCAACCTCGGGTTACAATTCGGGCCTGAGCAGATCTTAGCACAACTTGAACTGGGCTTGAACAACCTCCTAACTCGACCGAACCTACCCGAGTTGCACCCCTACCTCAAACTAGACTTGAAAATATAGTGCACCCTCAAAACCAATTTAGCAGTTTGCCCTCAAAAGAGGCAAAACAAAATAAAATAATACAAAAGAATTTATTGCCAGAATCAAGCAAATCTGTTAACTTCATATCTAAAAGACCAATCGTTAACTTCATATCTAAAAAAGCAACTTTAGATATGGAACTACACAAAACATGTTCAATCAATCCTTCAATTTGGAATTTCTCTTTTATTCTTATTTTTTTATTATCGGGGACCGAAATGAGAGACATAGAGGCAATAAATGGGAGCTGAAAAAAGACACTAAATGGAGTGTATAATAAGGAAAGATTGAAAACAAGAAAGAAAAATGAAGAGTACATTTCGTGTCTCCGTGGTTCGATTTCTTCCTGATGCAATGACCTCCCCATCCTCGACAATCACACAGCTGGTCAATTAAAAAAAGAGAGAGATAAAAGATTGAGAGAGAGAGAGAGAGAGACTATATAATCACATGACAGTGCCAAGCTATGTTACATGGACTTCAAAATAAATCAAATACCCATGTCGGACACCCAATACTTGGACAAGGGTATGAAAAATGAGTAAAACGCATTTTTTTGCGGATAAATAATGATTAAAATGCCTTTTTGACACTATATGTTACATATAACACCATTTTATCTCACATAATAGATAAAAATATGAAAATATGACATTTTTGTATTGAGTTTGTGTATCCTTAAATTTGAGATTTGATTGGTTTGACATCAAGATATGCAACCGCACCCAACACCCATACCCGAGTCCATGAAACATAGGTGTCAAGTAATAATAACAAAATCTCAAAGACAATCTATATAAACTGGGTGTATTAAACCTATATAAATCACACTCTGCTTGAAAACAAAAAGCAAAACAAGATGGAAAACAAAAAGCTTACCCAACAGGAACTTCAAGGCTATCCATGGCAAGTGTCGCCTGCCAAAAGAGAAAGTAGCAATTGCTGCATGAAAAGCGAAACAACCACCAAAGTGTATGACCACAATCACAAATTTTAACAATTCACACAGGGAAAATGCAAGTGATAATACAATAAGCATGATGTTATAAACACAAGTCTACAGCCGTGGCCTACATAAGAGTCCACCTCCACCATACAGCTGAAGATGGCTTCCCCAACAGCCATACGGCTATGGCTCACACGAAGACCTGTGTTTTACAATTGCTACTCAGTTCATGATAATTTACTCATTACGAAAGCTAAGTAATTGCCTGAGTATGAAATCAAAGGTTCATAAAAAGTAACAACTAATTTGGTTTCCTAATATAAGAAACAAATCATATATGGTATTTCACAAAGTACAACTGCTCAAATATTATATCAAAACCATAGACAAGAATGTTGAGCTGGATGCATGGCAAGACAATAAGAATATATCAGAAATGAACACAAATCTGTCACAAATTAGTAAATCAAAACAAACACACCCAAAAGGTGTGATAGCACCTTAAAGAGAATGCAATTATATAGGTTAGCCACGTGCAACAAAAATTAATAACTACACCATTGAAGAAAGAGCAACATGGCCTAGATCGAGAAACAAATTGAGGTCATAAAGCGAGACAGTGGCACTTGGTACAACCAAACTACATGCCTATGTGAAGTGGCAAGGTGATAACAGTTTCATGCAAACACCTTGGAACAAGGCTCTTAAATTTAAGCTAAGCAAGGATCTATTTTCCAAAAAAAAAAATGAAGTTTGAATGATATATCTGCACAGTTAAGATGATATGTATATATCAAGCTGCTAAACTATGTCTTCTCTTGAATAAAGTATGTATCTTTTTCCTTATTGTGATCACTTAAAAAACTTTAATGTCATACTTGAAAATTTTAAGTAGCATTTTTAGTGATATTTTATAAAACAAAAGCGATCAAATATTACATGTACTCTTTTATTTCCCCTAAACTACTCATGTCCTCGTAGTACCCATACCCAACTTTTAGATAGATATCTCAATATCCTTATATTTAGGTTTGGAAAAGTCTGATGCTTGGACACACACCACACTTGATACTCGTATCCAAGTACAGGTGACACAAATTTGTTTCAAAACGTTAAATCTTCCCATTTTATGAAAAGGTCCATGCATTACCTGATGCACTGCAAGCTCCATAAATGCAACAGTTTCCAATGATACTTGTTCCACACACGAGGCCATCTAATAAAATAGAAAGAGGAGTCAATTCATTTAAACATAAAAAGGCATGTGCAAAGTGCCAGCACAAATAAACCACAAACACACATTTCCTTGTTTGAATAAATATGCCTAGTGATTTTTTTAAAGTGTCGTTAGAAGCTATAACAATATAAAATCATTTGATCAAATGATGCTATCAGATCTTCTACAACTATATATTCACTCATTTATGAAATTAATATCCATATCTATACCCCAGTAAGGCCGTCTCCCTAATAAGGGACTCAGGTTATAGTCCTCTCCTCTCCTATATGAAGTTCTTATAACAACGAGTTATTATGGATTAGTGTTGGAGTGAGATAGGAGTAGGGATGTGCAAGGGTTGGTGCAGAGCAAGTTTGGCAAATTTTTCCAACTGAACCGCCAAGGTCGGGTTGAGATTTCAAATCATCCTCTGCCGAACAGTGAAACACCAAAGTCAGCGGATTGGTTGACTTTACAAGACTGTTTCAAACTAGCAGGTTGGCAAATGCATTTATAAATTGGACCTTTCACATTTGTGCTACAACATTTTACACTAAAATTAAGCCATTTCTATTTGGGCGTGCAACATTTTACACTATATAATAAACACTAAAATTTGGCCTGCAAGTTGCAACATCAAATTCTATTCAACCACAAAAAACATAAAATGGATAAGGCATAAACCAGATATTGCATTATGCAATTTTTTTTTTAAAATTTTTTTAGACACGCATAACATAAATACACTTAAAAAGTATAATATTTGTTAAAAAAAATCTTTAATAAATTCACTAAATACCAAAAATACAAAATAAAATAAAATAAAATAAAATTCAGTACATTTTTCATATTTTGTGCATTTATTAATTTTTTAAAACATTTTTTCACAAATATTTTACTATTTACATACATCTAAGTAAGTTGCACCTAAAAAAGTAAAAAAAAAATCTTAAAATTTTATAAATATTTACTAAAAATTAAAAAAAAAACTCAATTTTTAAAAAATTTAATTCAGAAAACTCACCCTAAAATTACATAACTCAGAATGAAACCAATTTTTAATTGTATGTAATCCACAGATGTATGGTCCAAATTTATGCATTGATATATTCGATTATGAACGACACCATTGTTGGTCTTTATTTCAGTGAACAGAACTGTTGGAGGAGAAGAGTTTACAGGGTTGAGATGAGAGAGAGAGAGAGAGTGAGAGAGAGATTACCTGAGAGAGAGAGAAAGAGAGCAGAGGCAGAGGAGTGAGAAAAGTGCGGAGGGTGGCGGTGGCGAGAGGAGAAGGGGGAGGCGATGGCGGAACTGTAAACCTGTGATATTTTGGACCGGGCTACGTGAATTCTAAACCCAACTCATTTGATAATGGCCCAAAAATATTGACCTAACCCAACCCTATTAGTCAAAATATCGTTATCAAGCTCGAAGGTAATAATAGTGGGCTGGGCCGGTTGACCTATGCATTGATATATTCGATTATGAACGACACCATTGTTGGTCTTTATTTCAGTGAACAGAACTGTTGGAGGAGAAGAGTTTACAGGGTTGAGATGAGAGAGAGAGAGAGAGTGAGAGAGAGATTACCTGAGAGAGAGAGAAAGAGAGCAGAGGCTGAGGAGTGAGAAAAGTGCGGAGGGTGGCGGTGGCGAGAGGAGAAGGGGGAGGCGATGGCGGAATTGTAAACCTGTGATATTTTGGACCGGGCTACGTGAATTCTAAACCCAACTCATTTGATAATGGCCCAAAAATATTGACCTAACCCAACCCTATTAGTCAAAATATCGTTATCAAGCTCTAAGGTAATAATAGTGGGCTGGGCCGGTTGACCTTTATCCCATATGGTCGTCTCGCACCAACCACCCAACACAACACCATTACTCTACTCTCGGTTACTAAAAGCATATTCTCTCTCTCTCCTCCCCCATTTTCTCTTTACTCATATCCGTTAACAGATTTTCTCAATACTGTTTCCTTCTTCTTCACAATTCTCATCGTTCACATCGTCACCACTATAATATATATATTTTTCAGAGAATTATTTTTATTTGTTTTTTGGTTTTTTCGTAATGGATCTATGGACCGTGCATGTCAAGAGCACACATCGGAGTCCCTTTTTGCTCAGAAATTCGATTCCCGACAAACCCATTTCCTGGAATTCGAGAAAGATGACTTCTTTGCAATTCGTAGAGGGAAGGACTCTCGAGATCAGGGTTTCCAGGCGGAATGTTTCTTCTGGGTATCAATCGCTTGTTGTCAGAGCTATGGGAAAGAAAAATCATGATAATACTAATTCCTCTTCTTCTTCTTCGTCTTCTTCTTCGGGTACGATCCCCTCTTGCTCTCTGTTGTTCAATTGTATTCTAGATTTTGTGTTGTAGATTTTGGTATATACCCCTATTTGATCATGGGTGTTTTTCAATTTCATGTTTTTGGTTCATCACTGTTAGCTTTGGCACTGTTAGGGCTCTGTTTTTGGTTTCTAAGAGAACTGACCCTCAGAATATTTGATTTTGATTCTTAAATGTGAAGAAAGCAACTAGATTTGTTAATTAACTTGCGGTTGGGAGAGACAAAATTGAGTTGACTTTTTTATGTGAAAGGAAAGTAAGGTATTGGTACTTCAAAAACAGCATAATGATTATATTCCTTGTTTAGTTGCAACTTGCAAATTGTAGTTCATGGGTTTCTCAGGTTCTAATATACATATATCTATCCATTTTTGTATTGGGCAAATCAAAGATTTATCTTGTTCTCCAGTTAAATAATGCTCATGGGATGGATGATCTGCTTGGCGTAAGATCTTGAAAAGGTGAACAGTGTTTCTCAAAATGATATTTTTTATTTTGAAACATAGGACATAGTGAATAAATAAACCAAACCAAACCAATCCAAGCATTAAGTCTCATCAAATAGGGTCGGTTACATGAATTCTTTTTCTCTACGCGGCTCTATCAAAGGCTATTTAATTAGTCAAACTAAGTAGATTCATATGCCTATTTACTATACTAGCCAAAATCAATTTAGGTCTATCCCGTCGTCCCTAACATTTCCATCTACTATCTTTGCATCGCATCTCTTCACTATTACATCTGTTAGTCTCCGTTGAATATGACCAAATCATCTTAATATATTCTTTCTCAATTTATCTTCTATCCGTACTACTCCTACCCTCTATTATCAAAATCTTACAATTGGCGATTCAATTCATAATTTTTGCAAAATCGATAAGAATTTATGGGTGAATCTATTTTGGAAGTGAATCTCTAGTGAATCGCCCGATTCACAATCGATTCATGATTCGATTCACTTTTTACAATTCATGCAATTTTTGAAATTATCGCGTCTGACATATTTTCGACTTTTTTTTTTTTTCCATCTTTTTAGTAAAAATGATATAATACAATTTCTAATAACGTTTGATACTAAAATAACCAACATATATACATGATTTGTTGTTATTTTAGTTATCTTGGAGTTTTTAATAGGATCCAATCAGATTCAGTCAGACTCAACATATTTTTAACCTTTCTTCTCATTTTTTTCTCTTTAAAAAAGTATGATATATCTTCTAAAGATGTTTAAGATTAAAGTTACACTATGAATTATCTGTTGCTATTTTATTGAATTGAATATTACATGTGTGGGATTAGTTATACCTTTTAAATGTTTTAGGTTTTAAAATAAAAGATTTGAAATAATTTTTTTTTATTATTTGCTCACTATTACTTAGAAAAATATATATGCTTATTGTCCAAATATCAATATCGTTGTTAATTATTGTTACTTTGGAAACTGATAATTTGTCTATTTGGTTATTATCTTTATTAAGAATGGTTAATAAGAAATATCTAAAAGAAAAAAAAATAAGATGGTGATCTTACATAGGAATTTTTGTTAACTTTTTACCTATTAAGCTACGTAATTATCACTCAAAATAATATTTTATTGATTTAAGTCTAAATATTTCATATTCATAAGAGATATTTAACATTTAAATGTGTAGATATATGTTTTTGAATAATTTAGAAAAAGTGACCGAATCTTTATGATTTACGATTTACAATTCACGATTCGATTCAATTCGATTCGCTATTTGGTACAAGGTCATTTCAATTCACAATACGAATTTCGATTTGACAACTATACTCCTACCAATTCTCGAATATATTTATTCCTAATTCTGTCTTTTTTAGTTTTGCCACACATCCATCTTAGCATTCTTATTTCAGCGACACTCATCTTATCTATATGTTGTTTCTTGGTTGCCCAACACTCTGTCCCATACAATATTGAAGGCTTACTAGCTGTTCTATAGAACTTTCCTTAGTGGGTGCAATCTTCACTTCAAAGTTCATAATCATACGATAAAACTTATAGTCTTGATTTTCCTTATTACCGGCTATTTCCTCCTCTAGTAACGTACCTCCATGTTCCTCATTTAACAGTTTCTCAAAATAGTTTTTCCTCCTCTCCTTAATCTCCTTATCCTTCACCAATACATTAGAATTCTCACTCTTGATGCACTTAACTTGATTAAAATCTCTTGTTTTCCTCTCCCTTATTTTAGCAAGTTTGTATACCCTTTTTTCTCCCTCGTTACTATGTAGTCTAGTGTATATGTCATCATAAGCTTTCAACTTTGCCTTTCTCACTACTTTTTTGACCTCCTTATTAACCAATCTATAACTCTTCAAGTTTTCCTCAGTTATATCCTTTTGCCACTTTTTAAAGCACAATTTTTTTGCCTTTACTACTTGAACCTCTTCTCTCCATCACCAAGTTTCCCTAGAGTTGGGTCCCTTTATTTTGACTCTCCAAGAACTTCCATTGAAATTCTCCTCATACAATTGTCCATCGAGTTCCACATAGTGTTAGCATCATTTTTCAAGTTCCAAGTACCTTCTTTATCCATTCTATTCTTAAATATTTCTAGTTTTTTCCCTTTTAGGTCCCACCATCTCATCTTACGATGCCCACTATCTTTCCTAACTTGGTATTGTCCTTTAAAACATAAATCTAGTACCAAAATCCTATATTGAGACGTTAGGCTCTCTCCAGGATTCACCTTACAGTCATTGCATTTTAGACAGTTCACTTTTCTCACTAAAAAGAAATCCATTTGGCTCTTAATTGACCCACTCTTAAAGGTTATCAAATTCTCCTCCCTCTTCTTATACATATTATTGGCCACCATCAGGTCAGAAGTCAACGCAAAATTTAAAATACTCTCTCCAACTTCATTTCTATCACCAAAATCATATCCACCATGCACCCTCTCAAAGCCTAATTTATCTATTCCTACATGGCTGTTGAAATCTCCACCTATAACTAGGTTATCTCCTACAGGTATCTCCCATAAGATCTCATCCATTTGCTCTAAAAAATCCCTCTTAGTCTGATCATCTAATTCTACTTGGGGGCGTATGCACTAATAACTTTATGGAAATTTCTCACAAAAATTGAAATCCAAGTCTGATAGACTAAGTGTCTGATCACGAGCTCAAAAACACATCCAAGATACCAATTAATGCAAATTGGGCACAAAACCAGGCACTAACAATGGCCAAGCATCCCAAAGCAATATACCACCAAGCTGAAAATTGGTAGAAACTGAGTATATCGAACATCAAATAGACTTGACTGCATAACACAAATTGAGGCCAAAAGCTACATACTAAATATAGCACGGCAAACACCTTTTTGTGATGGACTTCAGCAACAAATGTGTAATTCTTCAAATGGTATAGTTGGCATCCAAAGAAGTAATGATATAAGGTTTTTTTAAAATGTTATTTTGTTTTGAATAATAACTACATCACAGGTCATCCAATGATTCCTCACTGCCATGAATCATTGCTCTGATATAGCAAGTTTGATTTATGGGAATGAAGAACAAGAAGGCAGAAAAGAGAGGAAAACAAAATACGGAAAAAAGAGGAGAGAGTCAAAAGATTAGGGTTCTTTCCTTCATCTACTTATAAATATTAACTTGGTTCAAAATACAAAAAACCCCTTACTTATCATAACACATGGCATAACAATTTCTATATATATATATATATTTAAACTTTTGAATATTGAGCTTGGTGCACGTAAGTTTAACTTTTTAACTTCCACCACCTGCTAGATACCACTTAGCAACTCTGTACCAACCAACTGTTGATCATGTGAAATAATAAAGGTCTATTAGTAGCTCTGTGTTTAGAAAATGTTCAAATTTGTTTGCATATAGATAATATAATACCATTGTGATAAAACTTAACTGAGATTTTTAGGCTGTGTTTGGTTATGTTTTTGAAACGTAATTCCACGCCTTAGTTTGAGTGTTGTGTTTGGTTAGAATTTTCAAAAATTGATTCCACACCCACTTGTGAAAACATGTCTCATCCACCCAAATGTCCCCCTGGACTTCCGGCCGGTTGACCGGAACAGTGTTTGTTTGTTTGTTTTTTTTTTTTTTTGACACATGTTATTTTTATATTTTAAATAAAAAAAATATTTTCAGAATTTTTTTTTTAAATTTTTTTTATGAGCTTTGAATAGAATTTTGGGTTGTGTTTGTTTATGAGTTGTAAATTGTTGAATCAAATATCATATGTCACATCAAAAATTCCATTCTCAATTCAAAACTATTTTCAAAACTCATAACCAAACAAATTTTCCACACTCAAATCATAATTCCAAAACTCACAAACTCAAAATCAACTTTATTCTCAAATTATAATTTTAAAACTCTACCAAACACTATTTTAACTTCTCCATGGTGTACTAAATACTCATTCTCTTTCTGAGCTTGGAAAAGGATCTCAACTATTGTCTAGAACCAGTAGTTATTTTATTAGCCTCCTCAAAATGAAACATAAGTAGTGTATATCTTGTATTGGGTGTTCTACAATTACAGGGAATGGTGATCAGTCAATTCCAGGAGGAGATGGTACAAAAGGAAATGATTCTTCCTCAGAGAGCAACAAATCTAATAATGACACTGCCTCCCAGAATTCCCATCATAAAACCTTGGACTGGAGAGAATTTAGAGCAGCTCTCTATGAGAAGGAACAGGTACCATTAGTGTTATTATTATTATTATTATTATTTTAAATTTTTTTGGTAGATTTGTTTTTCCCAAAAATAAGCCTAGAATTATGAAGTTCCAGAGCTAATTCATAAAATATGATAGCCTTTGCATTTTTATTGGTATGCTGAAATTTGACCTGGTGTAAAGTTTTGAAGTTGATAGGAGGTTTTTCCATTGGCCGATGTAATACTGATTCTATTCTGCCGGCTCTCAAATGGTATTTTCTTGTAATTTATTGATCAGTACTATAACAGGTAACGCTGGTATAAAATTTTACAATGGGAATAATATTACAAAATACACCACTATAGTTGGCATTTGCCGATGCTTTGGGTCAAACCCTCTAGCCTGTTTACGATCTCATTAAAGAACTGTTCGGTCTTTTTTAGAGATTTACAGTGTCTCAAAATTTAATTGCCTGATGTTGGAGAAAAGGCCAATTTGAAATAATAGAGCATCACTGTTGATGGTGTTTATGAAATTTAACATACTTGCTCTTTAAATAGTAAAATTTACTAATTTTTTCCAGGTTGAAACTGTGGGTGGTATTGGTTCTCACAACCAGGATGGGGCTCAGCTCAAGTCCAAACCTCTCGGTCCGAAGTGGGCCCACCCAATTTCATCACCTGAGAATGGCTGCGTTCTTGTTGCCACAGAAAAGCTTGATGGGGTCCGCACTTTTGAAAGAACGGTCGTTCTCCTTCTCAGATCCGGAACTAGGCACCCACAAGAGGGGCCATTCGGAGTTGTCATAAACCGTCCACTTCACAAAAGGATTAGACACATGAAGCCCACAAATCTCGATTTGCAAACTACATTCGCTGATTGTTCTTTGCATTTTGGTGGACCCCTTGAGGCAAGTATGTTCTTGTTGAAAACAGGGGGGGAAAAATCTCAACTTCCTGGTTTCGAAGAGGTGGTTCCTGGCCTGTGTTTTGGTGCTCGAAACAGTTTGGATGAAGCTGCTGGGTTGGTAAAGAAAGGAATGCTTAAGCCTCAAGATTTCAAATTCTTTGTTGGATATGCTGGGTGGCAGCTCGATCAGTTGAGAGAGGAGATTGAATCTGATTATTGGTACATAGCTGCATGTAGTGCAAATCTGATTTTTGGGGAGTCAACAAATTCTTCATCGGAGGGGTTGTGGGAAGAGATTTTGCAGCTAATGGGCGGTCACTACTCAGAACTGAGCCGGAAGCCGAAACAAGACATGTAACTGTTTCTGAGAATTAAGAAATTGACCTGGTAATCAATGCGAGGAATGTGACAAGGGTATTCATGTGAATCCAAATGTACATAATGGTGGCAGCAGAGGAGATTTGAAGTCGGGTAGTTCTTTGTTTTTACTTCTGTAGAAAACTTGGTAATTATGGTTATGTAATTACTTACTCTTTTTTCTCGTATTTATTTGAAGAAAGGCTATGCGGTTCTAATAAGACCTTTTTTTGTAAGGGTAATTATTTAGTAATCTCGGAGTATAGATACGTGGTATTTTATAGTATTATAATTGGTGGAGAAGGTGGGTAGGTGGGATATTGTATTGGGTAATTGGGGAATATGAAAGACATATTGAATGATAATTGGTTAGAGAGTACAAGCACGTAATACTCCGGAATTATTGAATAATTTTCTTTTTTGTTATGTCTAATTTGAGATGGACTTGCTCCCATGTGTTGAAATAATTACTTGGCTAATTGAAGAAATGATGAGTTTCTACACAGCTTTTGCTAACATCCTTCAATGAATGGGTATTAAGCCTGAACTCTGTTGCTTGTTGAAATGTTATCTTGCAACTCTTTTAACTTAACAGGTTTGTCATTGTGTTGTACTATAATTAAACTCTCCAAATGGATTCATCTAAGCCAACACTCTGTTCTGTTGCACTATAATTAAATTCTCGTAATGGATTCATCAAAGCCAAACTGTGTCAGTAACAATTATACCTATCCTTTTCACTCATCCTTCTCAACAATTTCTTTGAAGGGTAGGCAATACGTGTTGAATTTATAACAAAATCCATATTAACAAGATGTGCCCAGAACAAGTCAGTGACAATCTGCATATCATTGTACCTATGCTACTCAAATGTATTCAAAATTGTTGCATCTGTGATCTCCCATGCTTAGCGCCTACAGGGTCGGATTTTACCCATGTATTGTAACCCTATTATTAGTTTCCATTAATTTTGATGATATTAAAAAAAAAGGCTTTGTTCAGTCTGTCCCATCGATTTTCTATCAAGATTCTTGCATTTTCCCAGATTTTTTTTTCAACTTGTCTACATTTCAATCATCTCCAAGTACTTCATCAATCTGAAAATTACTTCTGAACCCTAAGTAAACAAATCAAAGCCAATCTATCATAACAATTCAATGGCAACCATGTCCAAAGGACTTGAACTACTGACACAGCAAACAAGTATCAATATTCAAAAAAAAGGTGGCCATTAAGATGCCCATAAGAATAAGGGGAACATCAACCACAAACAAAAAAAAATTCTAGACAGCCAGGAAAAATAAAAAATAAAAAATAAAAAATAAAAAAAATCCATTGCATCCATCATAAATCATGTAGAACTATCACTATGCGGATTTTTTGAGAACTATCAAAATATTTTTTGGAGTAAATACCAAGGCAGATAAATAAATGACTAACAAATAAACAAACGGATTTTCATTGTATGCATGCATATCTGCAATGACTGACTGACTAGGAATGAGCAACCCTTCAGAGCTCTATACAATGCGGATTTCCTGCCCACAAAAGTGACCCCACCAGCTAATCAAAATCACATACAAAATTTTAAATATCGGCCGTTACGTTACAGAATTTTGGACCCCTTGATACTGTTATTTGCTAATATATCAGTTGATACTATATGATATTGACTTTTGTATAACCGCATCGCCGATACCGATATATATCCCAATATCATTATTCAAAACCATGACTCCTCCCATGATGGCAAATGAATATCTCGCAGCACCATCATTACATGTCATGCATGATCGTATTAAACCATCTCATCAACTGCTTCGTGCTCTCGGGCAAAAATGCAAGTTCCTTTTGCTAGTAAGAACCACCAAATCCAATGTAATTCCATTCCTAAAAAAGGCATCATAATATCAGCTCTACTACTGTCCATGATAATAGTAGTTTTTCTTGGGCCTCGTCTTATCAATGCGTGCTTTGCGGACTGCCTCTTGAATTTGTCTCTCATGCTCCTTAAGCATGTCTTCCATGTTTCCACCGGAAGGCACCAATGGTCCAGAGCAATGAATCCTACTTTTATTTGGTACATAATGCTGAATCACAAGAAAAACAAAAGCGCAAAGTCTAATATAGTGAAAAAGTAGAACACAAAATGACGAAGAAAGAAACCTGTGGTACAAAAGAGAATTAATATCAAGACCAACAAATATGTCAATTTTTGTTACTAGCAGACTTGCATCTTTCTAGTATCGAAAACAAGGAGACAATATTACAATTCCACATTCTGAGCACTCTAATTTTTTTTTTTATAAATTTTTTTTTTCAAAAAGAAGCAGCACCAATTTCAGTTTCTTTCTTAAGGGAATATATATATATATACATAACTAATGAATAAAGAAGAAAAAAATGTTGGAAATTCCTAATTTTAAAAAAGGCCACTAACCATTGTTAGTCCTACTAATGCCACTTCATGGGTAAATGGGCACATTTTCATATAATTTCTATTACCACAAAAATAAATATATATATATATATATATTTTTTTTTGAAATAGAGAATGTAACATGTTTTAGACAGAGAAAACAAAAATAATGTGAATATATATAATTCAAGCCATTAAGGCAAACGATTCAAGTTGATGTTCTAATTAATAAAGGAGAGTTGAAAGAAAATAGACAAATCATTTGAGATAAAAACATTTACCGTGGATTCTTTTCCAGACATCCTTTCACCCTTCTTAAAATAAGCATTGGACGCAGCAAACTGAGGCTTGTGAGATGTCTGTCTCATCAGTTCTGACCCATTTACTGAGGAGCAGCCAATTGTCCTCACTGGACCAAAATGTCCTACGGCACTGGGGTGAACCATTGAGCTAGAATGGGTGAATCCATTCTTTCCGTCTTTCTCAGTCCTGTGGATGGGTCAATTGGGAAGCCCAATGCACCATCCTCTTGGGGATTGTATTTTACATTGATACTTTTAGGATTTGAATGTCCCTGTAGTCTCTAAGTTAGCCATAATTGAACTCACAGAAGAAAATTATGAAATAATAAAGGAACAAATAGATATTTCAAACAAATACCTGTGGTGAAGCTACTTTCTTACTGTCCCTTGGACCCCTTCTTACAGATTCAGTTCCACGTCTTTTCACAGCCTCGGCTCTTTTCCTGGGATAAAAAAGGGGAAAGATTTTGAATATATAACAACCTACGAAAATAACATAGCACCATTATGCAGGAACAGGAGCGAGTAAGTGATAAACTTTTCTGTCTACTTTTAGGATTGACAATGTTTTCTTCGAGGCTTCTACCCAAACTAATGTCTTCAAACCAAAGTAGTGGTCTAGGGTGCCAAACACTCAGCCTTTTCTTGATATCAAACAGAAGAGTAATTCCAAGTACTGACAGTGAAATCAAGCAGCACCAAACATCAACAGAGGTTTTTTAAGAAGGAATGGACGCACATACACAGGGATAGTAATCACACCAACACTAAGAGTTAGACAGTCCAAATTAAAACTGTTCAGAACATGAGAAAATAAAATTTAAAAAATGGTCAGGACTAAGGTAATGATTTATATAAAATAAAACAAAAAAACTAATGTATGCTTTGACCAAAATTATGGCTGTATGGCCCTATAGAGAGCAGAATGGCAAAATATGATTTACAATGACAAGAAAACGTCAAGACAAAGCTTTATTATGTATCCATTTATATATAAAATGAGTACCATATTTTTTTAACACATGGATTTGTTGGATACCTTGATATTCATTGCTGGACCCATTTCCTAATAGCTAAAACTCTTGGGCGATTGGTGACTTAACATGGTATCAGAGTTCAAATTGAGGAAGGCCTTGGTTTTAAGTCCCTCCATTTGCGTTTGTTTCCCTTTTGCATTTTTCTATATTTGTCTGTTTGCATCTCCAAGTGCAAGAAGGGTTTGCACATGAGGAAGGGTGTTGAACAACTTGATATACATTGTTGGCTCCATTTCCTAACAAATTAAGCTGTTGTGACAATTGGTGATTTAACAGGATTTGATTATTACATCCATCAATCATTATATAGGATGAGTAGTTTGAAAAACGAAAGGGAAGCCCTCAAATCAGTAGTAAATATATAAAACACTTTACTCAATCACACTGGTGTTGGTAAATATGGTACTGAATAGTGTGATGAATTGGCCATCTTGAACTCATAATTGCACAGAGATAATTTACTATCAATGATATTGACTTCAAATAAGGGGGCTCATCCTTCATACAAATTCAGGTGGGTGACTTAAGACATGCTGTTCGATGAAATTTTACAAATGCATTAGATTTACCTTCTTGCTTCCTCCTCTTGAAGCTTTGCATCAAACTCCTTGCTCGGAGGATATTTGGGTAAACTAGATGGATCGCAAGGGAAAGGCTTTGTCGTGAAGAACTGAAAAGGTAAATTCAAATAGATCTAATTACAGTTTTGCTACATGTAAGTATATAATATCCCAAGGATGTGTAATCAAATGTGCATCAAAATATTTTGAAACTTTAACCAGAGCAGCCACCTCAGGATTGAAGAACTACGTAGTGTTTGGGGAAAAAAATCAAATTCAAGAACCAATGTAAGCGGAAAAGTGGCAGACACAACAAATAGTGGGAAAAGAATATATATATATAGAGAGAGAGAGAGAGAGAGAGAATTCGGCGTCAAACCATTGCGAATAGCTAAGGAATTAATTGCTTTGCCCATCGTACAAGTAAATGATTAAACCATTATTCAAATGTGAGCAATAATAAAGGAGTCAAAATCCTCTAGAGTCATTTTTTGTATGGTTGGGATTTTTTTTTAAGTGATTATCAATACTATTGTACCCTCAACTTTCGTAGAATTAAATCTCAGCCATTCAAAAAATCACTCTACGAAAAATCACTCTAGAGGATCTAGATTCATAATAACGGGCTTTATTGCAATTTATGCACTCAATGCAAACTGAGAGAAGATAAATCCTAGTTCTCTTAGGAAGTGTAGTATCAAAAATAAAGGCCACCATGTAAGTGAAAATTCTAACAAGAAGTTTTTTATTTTTTTATTTTTTTTCTAATTTTTTTATTTGGTAGTGTGTCAAAATTTGATACAAAAAGCTAAATTCCAATACCTCTAGAAAAGCATTCTAAAAATTACCTCACTTTTAAGTGCAGAAGCAGCAGTACCCCTCTGCTCTGGTTCGGTTGCGAGGAGGACATCAATAAGAGCCAAAGCTGAAGAAGGGAAATCCTTGAACGTCTCAGCAACGCGGCGTCTGTAAGGTCGCTGAGGTTTAAAACTAGTAGCGTGTGGCAATTTTGATTTCATCCAGTACTCCTCAGAAGGTGAACCACAAAGCTTGAATATTTTGTGCATCTGCTCAACCTAGGAATGTTTTTTTGGATTATCTCTGTTAG